ACATCCACTGAGAATGGACTTTATAGTTTTTATAGTTTTTTTGCAGAAAGAAACACATTATTGTTCCCAGCAGACTATTTGTATATATGTCTTAACATATGTATGAAAAGGATCTTTAAAGTTGTCATTTGGCAGCAGAATATCCCCTATTAGTGCAATATGATTATATTTTATACTGATGCATTCAAGTGTGGACGGGACTTTAATGCATTGTATTTTATATCCTCATCTTAACCTGCATAGCAAATATCTCTGTATAATGTAGTGAAGTAAAAAGTATATTTTCCTTGAAAATACTCAGTACAATTAATTAAGTATAATACTTCAATATATGTACTTTCCACCACTGGTTTTTGAGTTGGTTTCTTTCATTAAATGTCTTGTTATTGAACATTTCAAAGAAAAATATTCTGTTTTCCTGCGTCCATGGTGATGGTAGTGGTTTGACAATAGCGGGTGGAGGCAACAGAACCAGACTAAACAGTATTGTTGTGCTCAGACATGACAATGGCTGATTCATCTTTACACACACACTTAGAGAGAGAGAGAGAGAGAGAGAGAGAGAGAGAGCGAGAGAGAGAGAGATCATGTTCATGTGTTAGCTAGCAACCACAGTCCACCCTCTCAGTGTCATTTATCACCCTCCTGGCTCTCCACACACACCAGTGTCACCACAGTATGGCCAAGCTGCTGCCTGTTCACTCTGGACTGGGACCACTGGTCATTGGCTCGCTGCCTCAAACAGCTCCGAGCATTACCACACACTCCTACACAGGAGGAAGACAGACAGGTGGGGGGTCCAGGCAGACATGGATCCACACAGACAGAGGTAGATTAAGTGGTTTTTCAACCCTCAGTTTCCTCTGCTATATTTACCTATTTTGCACTTAGAGCTTTAATATTATTTAATCAAATGAATGGTTAATTAATATGTTATTTACTGAATTAGACATTTTTTTAAGGTCAGTTGGGATCTTCTGCACAATGATTGTTGCCGGCCTAGGTGGTTGGAACCAGCCAAAGTGTAATGGCTGTGTTAATGGTTAAAGATCATTTACTAATGCTTTATATCAGTTATAATCCATTAATACAAATACATTCAATTCATTAGTCTTTCTCTGTTTAACAGCGTAAAAAACACATTTTATCTATTTTAATTCACTGTTATAAGAACACCATACTTTTTAGGCACTCTAAGTGGTCATTTATTTAAGATGACTTTATATCATTACAAAAAAATATAATGCTGTATAGCTTTAGGATTTTTCCATGTTTGTTTTTATTTCACTTTATTCATCATCATATGTCCAATTATGCATCCAAATAATTCTTAATGATCCTCCAAAATGGATGTATACATTTGCAATGATCTTAGAACTTAAGGAAAATTAGTCAATAGAACAAACTGGAATTATATTGCCAATAATATAATGGTGCACAAATTTAAGTGCACTAAAACAATTAATTGTTTTCATTATTCATTCAACAATTCATCTAATTTATGGAATTGAGTGACTGTGTATGTTGCTTTACTTCTTTTATTAAGATGCTGTCCATAAAAGATGTCAGCAAAGACTTGTCATCTGTGAGATCAAAGCACTCTCTGTTGCCCTACCTCCATCCTGCTATACTGTTTCCCCTGCTTCATTACTCGCTGTCTCCAAAACAAAAACGAACTTATACCGCCTTTAAATTGTTAACCTCCCTGCTGAACTATTTATCTGTATTTCCTTAAAGTAGCTTCAAAGTGACATTTAATGTTTCATCCTCATCTGACCCCCTCAGTCCACCCAGTGACGTACCATCCAGGTCGACAGCTCACCCAGGAGCAGGTGGAGCCTCTGATCCACAGCAGACTGGCAGACATCAAGTCAGCCTTCATGGCGGTGGACCCAGATGGGACAGGGCTGGTGAGCAAAGAGGAATTCAGAAGAGTCCTAGAGAGGCTGCTGCATGTCAGCCAGAGCCAGCTCCATACTGTGCTCCACGAGGTAAACGGGACATTAATCTTCATTTCTGTCCACATGGGGGTCAGAGGTCAGAGAGGGTTCTGAAAAAAAGCCCTTCAGCAAGGTGCCTGCTTTATCAGTTGTTGAGTGTGGGACATCCAGTAGAAAAAGGTTCACTCCACCCACTCCTGTGAGGTCCTTACTAGAAATAGTGAAAGCAATGGGTGCTTGTGAGAAACATTTGGATACCTGTGTTACACAGTGGCAAACTGAACTAACTAAAGCTATAGCCGAGCAAGGTATTTTGTCTTACCAACTGTAGCTGTAGCTTTTGATTTTGGGGTGAACTGTCCCTTTGAAGTCTGACTACTGAATATATCTGTCTCATAAAACATTTGCAAAGTAAAGTAAGAAAAGTAAACAGCAAACATTGCGCTCATACGAAGAAAAGATTGGTTTGTGTACTAAAGGGACAAAAGGGGGTTCACACAGCAATTAAACTGCTCCTTTTATTCACTTTCAATGTTAGAATAAAGCACAGAGATTAAGTTGGCGTTATGTTTATGATGCATTGCTGCCACCTACTGTCAGTATATAGAACTGTATGAAATCAAGGGACATCTTGCAGCTTTCCTCTGGTAGTCATGGCCATTTTGCATCAAACACAACTGGTAATTCACTCTGATCTGATGGGCAGATCCAGCTAGAAACTAGTAGATGGTTGACTTTTCTAATGTGTAAATCTGAATTTCAACAGTTTTTTTTTTTTTTACGTTTTTCTCCTTGATGAGTTAGTTCACATTGAAAGTCTCTGGTTCAAACACTGACCAGCACAACCACAACACTCTCCCTAAGAAATGCCACAAATTCCACATTTAGCAAATGGAAAAAAAAGCAAACACTTCATGTGAAGAAAGGATCTGTTTACTATTTGATCCTCCACTGCTTGACAGTGGTTCCCAACCTAGGGGTTGCCAAAGATCCATGGGGCGTCGCGAGGCCTTCTTGATTTTAAGGGATGTACGAAAACTATAGACAGTAAGCCTATAGCAGTCATATATCTCTGCATTTTGTTCATTTTTTGTTAAGTAAATAATCTAGCTGAACGCCAGGGACTAGAAAATGCTGAATTTGTCAAAAAAGAAGCCTAATAAGTATTTATGATTGTTAAAAATCATTTAAAAAATACATAATACAGTCCAGAGAATTGTATAAAATGATTCCCTAAAAAGGAAATAATCTGTTAAAAATTCATCCAAATCACTAATTTTACACAAACGTCTTGCAGTTACTGAGTTCTCTGTTTGGGTTGATTGTACAGCTTTGAATATAACATTAAATATTAATAAAATATGTCACTGAGTCAGGGGTCGTCAGTTTACTCAATGACAGAAAAGGGGTCCCTTTTGGAAAAAGGTTGGGAACCACTGGTTTAAAGGACCAACCTTCAAAAGGTCTGGTTCTCACCTTGATGTTGGCAATTATCTTAAAGTGTGTCAGACTCCCAAAAGAAAAGAAACTACTGTTAGAAGCCCCAGTGAGGAAAATATTCACTGTATAGGACTTATTGACATAGATATATCTTGTGCCTCTGTGTCTATTACACTCACGTAATCCAATTGGGAAAATCTCACAGAGTACCATTTGGCCTGTGACTGCCTAGGCATCCCCAAGGAGAAGCTGTATGAATAGGAAGAAGGACTTGTGGGGAACACTGCTCAGCGTGCTATGTGTGTCCATTGTGACCTGGACCCCCCCCCCCATTTTTGGCAATGTAAAGATTGTGCATAATTGTATTTACAATTTGGACCAAATTGTCAACTCCTGTGTCTAAAGTCAGGAATGAACTTTGATAGGGTGCCCTATAGCTTACCTGGTAGAGCTGGTTCCCCATGTACCAAAGCTGAGTGCTTGCTGCAGAAGCCACAGGTTTGATTCTGATCTGTGGCCCTTTGCTGCGTGTCATGCCCTCTTTCGCCCCTTTTCCTGTCACTCTTCAGCTGTCACTATCAATTAAAGGCAATAAGATTTGATAACCTGAGTGCGCAAGGTTGTTTGTTACATAACCTTGGCTGTAAATGTTTACTTCTGCTGTAAAGTTGGACATTTTAAAATGCAGTTTTTGTTGCTTCCTTTGTTACTTGGCTTTATTTTCCAGCCACAGAGGTTGTTGCTTGAAGCCTGGCAAGATGGATTCTCAAGTGATCTTGTGATTTG